AATGTATCACCAACGTATAGAGTATTATCTGTTAGATTAAGAAGCCCGGCCAGCTGCAATAAGAGGTTGACTTTACAGTTGCTTATCCTGAACACACATGAGGGAGGCTTTTATTTTTCCATATTATGGACCACCTTGCCTCCACAGATAAGCAGTGGTCAGAGCAAAGACTTATTAAATGATCTTTAAAAAAAACTACTCCTCTCTTTGCCCTTTTACTTGGTTAGAGTATAACATTGTAAATTACCTGTGTATTTTTATTTTCATCTAATCAGGGCTTTAGGCTACCTGAGCCGCCGTATTGGCGTAGGCTAGAGTACCCAGAAAAAATCTAAACCTGCAAAGGGAGAACATGCAAACTACAAGCACGATTTATGTCAAACTTGAAAGTATTTTTTTCTTCTCCCATATTAATGAATCTGTAAAACTCTACTCATCTGCCCTTTTCAGCAAGTTTTTGTTTGTCTCTTCCACCTGCAGAGATTTACAGCTCATGCAGACAGTCAACCTTTGGCAAGTTCCCAAAAAGTATCAGCCCAGAAGAAAATGTGCTGCAGGGAAATTTTTTTTTTATCCTTTTACATTTCTCAGCTTGCACGATGTCTGCATTTAAATCAGTCAACCAGTGAGATGTAGACAGAAGAAAAAACCTTTAGGTCTAATTATGTAACAGTAGAACAATAAAGTGTGCTAATAATGATCTGAATCCTGAGACATTTTATGTGTCCTTCTTTGCTTTACATACTTTAATCAGAGAGTACATGAAGCCAGAAACCCTTTTGTCTACCGGGCTTAAGGCTGGTGCTCCTGTAACCTAAATAACTCACTCCGGATGTTTTTCTACCCTCCAAATAAACACACACACATTCAAACACAGGACGGATTATTCCTAGTACCTCTTCATCTCTGTAATCATCTCCTCTCATTACCACCAGCACACCACCTCAACACAGCCACCCACCAATACAACAAGCTCTGAGGATTGAGTTAACTACTTCCTAAGCCTGTCAAGACACAATGCATCTTCGGTGGGAAGAGAAAAAAATTTGCAAAGATTTAATGACCTCTACTGTCTCCATGATTTTGCTGTAATTTGTTTCTATAGATTCCCTACCATTTGTTTAAAAAGAAAAAGTTTTGCTTAATCATTTCTTCTCTTTTCTTAACTGCCTCTCAATAACACAAGAAGCAAAAATCTCCTGACTTTGTTCTCCAAAGAAAAATCTAGAAAAATATCCAATAAGCCTGATATAAAAAAAAAAACAACAACAAAAAAACATATTAAATAGAATAAACGGCATTAAATTTTATTGGAAGCAAAGTATCAAGAGTTTGAGAGAGGTCTGAAACTTTTCCCAGAGTACAAGACATAATTCGTATTTGAATCAATTTGATACACGTTTTCTTTTCCGGCCTATTGAGTAAATAGGTTTCAATGCGTGGCATGTTTCTTTGATCTTTAGGTTATGCCGCCCTCTGCTGGTTATATAAAGAACTGCAGAGTTCTACCTCAAATTACCTAGCTGCCATTCCTAGCTTCCTTTCAAACTTTGCACATATTCTGATTGAGCCATTCTATGAAACATATTTTCTTTTCAAGCCGTCTTGCATGGGAAAAAATACTTTCACATTTGGCCCATTTAAACTCTGTTAATTATAACCCCCTTCAACTACGTAGACACCCCTGGTAAGGATCTACAGAAAGCCTTGAAGTAAATAAATATAAAAGGAGGAAGTTAATTAATACCTAAAGTACTCACTGACCATTTGGTTAATAGAAGCAATAGATAATATAAAATACAATGTTTTACATGTATTTTATTGGAACTGCTAGACACAAAACTGTCTGGGATTATGTATATATATATATATATATATATATATATATATATATATA